CTGGGTTTCTCTTCCACAACTGCTCCCAAGATGTTGTTGTACCTCTCAGGGCAGGAACATGGCATCTCTTTCCAGGGCTGTGCTGCCCAGCTCTTCTTCTACCATTTCCTGGGCTGCACTGAGTGTTTCCTGTACACAGTGATGGCCTATGACCGATTTGTTGCCATATGCTTTCCCTTGAGATACATGGTCATCATGAACCACAGAGTGTGCTCTGTCTTGGCCACAGGGACCTGGATGGGTGGCTGTGTCCATGCCATTATCCTAACCTCGCTCACCTTCCAGTTGCCCTACTGTGGCTCCAACGAGGTGGGCTATTACTTCTGTGATATACCTGCAGTGCTACCTCTAGCCTGTGAGGACACATCTCTGGCTCAGAGAGTAGGTTTTACAAATGTTGGTATTTTGTCTCTCATTTGCTTTTTTCTCATCCTTGTTTCCTACACTCGCATTGGGATCTCCATATCCAAAATTCGTTCAACAGAGGGCAGGCAAAGAGCATTCTCCACCTGCAGTGCCCACCTGGCTGCAATTCTTTGTGCCTATGGGCCAGTCATCATCATCTACCTACAGCCCAACCCCAGGCCCCTGCTGGGTGCTGTTGTTCAGATCTTGAACAACCTTGTGACTCCCATGCTGAACCCACTTATATACAGCCTGAGGAATAAAGACGTAAAATCAGCCCTGAGGAATGTATTTTCCAAGAGAAGTCTTGCTCTGGAAAAATAAATTAAAAAATAAATAAAAAATAAATAAAAGACTCTAAAGCTTTTTAGGATGAAGTCTGATTTTTCATATCATAGGACAAATTCTCATCTGCGGTTCTCAAAACATACTGAAATAAAATATACTCTGAATCAATCTACCTCTTATTCTCAGTATTTTAATATACTTGTCTATCTTTCCCCCCATGTTTATAATGAAATAGAACTTATCATGTTGCTACTTGACATTGCACTTACGCTGTATGAATTCTGTCTCAGCACAATTGTACCCAAAACATTTCTTAGTTGTTTAAATAGTTGAAAGAATTAAAACACATCTGTCTCCTCATGGTCTTGGTTAAAAGTGTACACTTCTACATCTTGAGGGAAAAGAGAGTGAGAGAAAAAAATTGAAGAAAGGCTAATATATAACATCAGAATTCTGTCTCTTTTCTTTTAGAGAGTGAACTCCAATTTCCAGCAAGCAACATCAAAATTCAAACTAAATTAACTAATATTTAAGGTAATATCTTCTTGGAATAAAGTCTTGTGTGATTTTGAGAGTTTTTTATTGTGCTGATTCCTTTGGACCTAGATGTTTTCATTGCATTATTAGACCTCTGGAAAGATATGAGTCTATATTGTTTCTCATTAGATACCCAAAGTAAGAATTTTTGTCTTGTAAAAATGTGGTTAAAAAATAAAAAACTCCCATTGACAATAAATAGTTTGCTATTTGGCTTTAAAACAAAGATGTTGATTTATTTCTGTGTCTATAAAGAAAAACCAAACTAAAATTATTTAAATTCAAATAGGAATAGTAAATTTCCCTCCCACGGGAAGTTTCTTCCTTTCTCATAAAACAAACAATATAAGTTATTTTTCTTCCCCTAATCTCTGTGTTCCATAATGCTGAGGGTAACAGGTAAGTTTAGTTTCTAGAAACTATACTAAATTGTGTAATAAATATAATTCTCTTCCTCTTTTTCTATATTATCTTCTCTATTTATATTTTATCTACTAGTTATTTATGACTTTTCTTATAAGCCACATTAACTCCCCTTGGACAGATGAATGAAATAAATATTACAGAAAAAGAAGAGGGAGTAAGGGAGGAAAGGAGGGAAGAAAGGAAAGAGAAAGAGACAAAGAGAAAAAAGTAGGATAGGGAGGAAGTAATTTATATTTTAGAAGTAAAATAGTGCTTTGTAATGAAATGGTTTTTGCTTTCTTCTTTTCTTCAATTTCTGCCCATCAACAGGTGACAAAAAATCAGTTCTCCAAGAAGAATCTATAAGTCATCACAGAGTGTGGAATGCACTATTAGAAACTATTAAAAGGTTCAGTAGCAGCTCATGCCAGTAACCAGGGAATTGCAATGTGGTGTCTAAGAATTTCTAAAGAAAGAATGTATTCATTAGTTTTTCAATTGCTGTGACAAAATTCTGAGATAATCAATTTCAGGGAGTAAAGAAAAATTTGGCTCAGTATTTCAGAGGTTTGAGTTTATGGCCATCTTCTGGCCTCAAGGTAGAAACATCAGGGCAAAAGGGCATGGCAGTGGAAAGCTGTTTCTCTGCTGGTTTCTGGGAACTCAGAGAGATAGAGAAAGAGAAAGATTGGAAAGGGGTCTGGAACAAAACATTGCCTTCAAAGACGTGGCCCAGGCTACCCACCTCTTCCAACCTGGTCCAACTTCTAAAGTCTCCATCACTTTCCAGTAGTGCCCCTAGTTCTATTCAACATGCTAGCCTTTGGAAGGGCATTCAAGATTCAAATTATAACAGATGCTGCGATTGTTTTTCACAAGAAGTTAGGTTCCACTCTTGATAGAAATCAAATGGACAATATTGCAAATTTCAAAATCATTGATACACAAATGTTCCTTTCAAAAAGCAACAATTGGATTTAAATATGAAACATATCTAATGTTAACTAATACAATGTAAACAGTGGCTCCATTTTCTCCTATATGTGTAATGTCAATTTTTTAAAAAAAAAACATATTCATCTGTTAGAGTAAGGTTGTTATAACTCTAAATATTTTGCTAATCTGAAAACCCAAACAGCCCCTCTAGTTTTAAACACTTATATGTTTCTTTCTTTTTCCTTCACCTGCCTTTTGGGAGACAAATTAAGTGGGCTCTCTCTCATCCAGTGAGGAGGTCCATGGAATAGGGTAGAGAAGAGAGTGGCTGAGGAGTCACTAATCAAGACCTCTGGAAATGAAGATGGAAGCAGATCTGATTTTATTGCACATTTACAATGTGTACAAACTCAGGCACTAGGTAAGCAGATTATAGGCAGCCACCAACACAATGTCTTGCTAACTGTCCTTGCAGCAACCAGTCGAGGAGTGGGCCCTGGAGCAAGCACAGGGACTATAACACATGGCCTCACGCCCAGGGCTGTGCTTACAGGGTAAGTGGTTTACCACTCATGTGCCTATGGGGGGATGGTTTGCCACTCAGATGCCCTTAACATATGCCATGTATGCAGTACTCCATGCACGTATCCCCACATCTCACCCCTCTGACTGTGCTGCAAGGACTTCAGCCAGCATTGCTGTTTTTTGTTCAATGGCTTTTATATGGCTATACAAGCATCTCACAACAACACAAGAAAAATTTATCACTGCCATAAACAGCAAGGCCATTGTGTACTGGTACCACTGCTGTACTATGTTCCTTATTTAATTACCCCCAGATCAACTCCTTGGCTAAGGCTGCCCTAGCTTCTTCATGAGACACCTTTCCTTCGACCACCTTGTTTACTCTGTCAAATTGTGGCAAGTCTTCGGTGACTTTCTGCCTTAAGCCCTGTTTAGAAACTGTCCCTCCCCCAGCTGGTAACTTCTTCCAAGCTCTCAGAGCACAGAGCCCCACCTGATCAAAATAATTTGGTGGGCCTGTGGCTTGTCCTGCAGGGGAACTGTAGATTCTTTCTTCCTGCAAACATTCAGCTGGAGGTTAACATTCGTGGTGTGATTATGATCCCCCTGCTGTTCACAGTCATCATAGAAAAATGCCTTCCACTTCAAAAATGATGCTGGCTCGAGAGGTTCTGGGTAGGTCTTTCCAGTCTTGAGGGGAATTAAGTTCAAAACTGAGTGATTTGAGCATTTGCTCTGCAAATAGCACCCAGGATCCATCCTCTTTTACTGACTTCTTTAACTCCTTCAGGGTACCCAATGTGTGTGGATACCAAGTGGCAGGGCGCTGTGGTGTGAGGGCCTTGTTGACTGGGAAGGCCTGTATTCCCTTACCCCACTTTTCATTTTCTATCTTACATAGATCTTCAAAAGGATCTCTGGCCTCTTGGAATGGGTTTCTGGGAGACCATGCCTTGGGCCTGTCTGGTGGCCTGGTCATTTCTAAGCTGTCATAGTCCCTTGCTAGCTTTGGCATTGCCTCATAAGGAGGCAGTTGCCATTGACTTATGGAAGGAATTAATCTTTGCCTGTAAGTAAAAGGCACACTTGCAACATTTGTGGTCACCTCTTCCTGCACCATGAAGGCTAGCAGTACTATTTTCCGCCTCTCGCACTTCTGCACCTGTTGTGATTGCTTGTTTGAAGTAGATTCTTGCCCCTACTTTCCTGTGACTTCTGTGGTTCCTTGCTTTGAGATATATTTTCACCCCTGCTTTTTCCACTTGTCTGTCTCTCACAGCCTCATCTTCCCTCAGGGGCCATCATTATATGACAAGGGTCTGCTGCAGGGCACCCTAAACTTTGCCCAATGGCTGTCACAATAGGAAAAAATAATGTAGTGGTAAAGTATGCCCTTGCCTCACTTCAGCTTGCCACACATTTGCCATTATCTTCTCCTGTATCGTATCGTAGGATCAAAAACATTAGCAGCATTGAGCCACAGGCTAGTGTTTATTACTACATCCCAGAACTTCTGGGCTTCTCTCTTCTTCAGGGTTAAGCCTCTAGTGTCTAAGAGAGTGTGCAGCACTTGCAGCTGCAAGTCTTTGGTAGAACTTGGTAGGTTCCCCATTTCCCCTTCTTCACTGCTCTGTGAGGGGCCACACCCTGTCCTATAGGCTTATCTCAGGTCCCTGTTTGGGCACAAGCTGTGTGGGCTCTCTTGTGTCCAGCGAGGAGGTCCACAGAACAGGGTAGAGGAGAGTGTGGCTGCCAAGTCACTAATCAAGACCTCTAGAGACCAAGCAGGAAGCAGGTCTGCTTTTATTGCACAGTTACCACATATATATACTCAGGCAGTAGCTAAACAGATTATAGGCGGCCACCAAGACAATGTCTTGCTAACCATCTTTGCAGGGGCCAATTGAGGAGCGGGCCATGGAGTAAGCACAGGGACTGCAACACATGGCCTCAACACATGCCTTCGGGGTAAGTGGTCTGCTGCTCATAAGCCTAGCACAAGAGGAGTGGTTTACCACTCAGATGCCCTTAACTTATGCCATGTATGTGGTACTCCATGCACTTGTCCCCACAAAGAATGTTGAAGTAGACATTTTTTACAAGCTCCCCTTTTCTGTTTTTTAAATACAGAAACACAAATATTTTTTAAAAACTGTTTACCACTTATCACTATAAAGTAATAGATGGCAATATTAGAAATAATAAATACCAGTAAAGAGCCTAAATTTTGAAATTTTAGGTAATAACATAACAAACTCTAGAATCCAGATCTTCCAATGTATAATCCAGTTCTCTTGCTTCACAAGTTTACAATACCAACAGAAAGACTTTTGGATTATCTTAGTGCTACATGATTTTGATTAACCTCAGGACAAGCTATCACAACCATAAAAATACTAAATAAAAAATGTTCTTCATTTTGTTGTAAGGGAGCATCTCTGCTGATTTAGATATTTATTTTTTCTAACCTCAAGCAAATTAAACTTTTCCAAACATAAAAAGTCTAATACAAAATAACAAATTTTTAGCATTTCTATTTTGATGAAATACCTATAGAAACTTAATTAGATTGACTTGCAAAAATTTAGATAATTTCAGACTTATGGAAAAATTGTAAAATACAAAGAATCCAT